TCCTATATTATAGAATTAGCTCAGGAAAGCCCTGTAATAGTTTGCTAGGGCTGCCATAACAAAGCATCACAGGTTTGGTGGCTTAAACAACATAAATTTATTTTCTCATGATTTTGGAAGCTAGAAGTCTCATAAAATCACATTAGATAGCTTGAGGACATACCTTAATTTCTGAGTTTAAAACAAAAGCCAAAAAATAATATATATTCTTAGCATAAATATAAGTACTGCTAAAAAATAGTTCCATGATATTTTATTTAAGTCTGTGTTCTGGGATGCCTGGATGGCTCAGTGGTTGAGTGTCTGCCTTCAGCTCAGGGTGTGATCCTGGGGTGCTGGGATCAAGTCCTACATTGGGCTCCCTGCAGGGAGCTTGCTTCTCCCTCTGCCTGTGTCTCTGCCTCTCTCTCTCTCTCTCTCCATGTCTCTCATGAATAAATAAATAAAATGTTAAAAAATAAATAAATCCATCTTCTGTGAAATGGAGCACTGTGAAATGGAGCTACAGCTCAGAAGACAGAGGAATTCATTTGAATTCCCAAATATTGCATGTGTTCAGTGTTGAGTCATTTAGTTGACATATATTCATTAAGTGCGTGCTCTGTGCTGGAGATCCACAAAGGAATAAGACACTAATAACTGTTTCCTCAAGAAACTCAACATTTAGCTATGGAAATATATTAATACTCTGTATGTATGTGTGTTTGTGTGTGTGTGTGTGTGTGTGTAGCATGGGGGGTATTTTTTGTAAAAGAAGGCTTCCCAGAAAAAAGACTTCCACTCAGTATTCTCAGTATGGAAAAACACATAGAACAGGTACTAGGAGGACAGGCAAAAAAAAAAAAAAAAAAAAAAAGCCATGAAATGGGCAGAGGGAGCAAGGTTTACACAGATTCCCAAGAATAAGATGGCACTGTGTTGCTGACCCCACAAGAAGTTTGTTCTGGCCAGAGTATGGAGATTCTTGGAGGACTGTGAAGGAGGAAATGAGGCTGGTATGCAAGAGTAGGATCAAGATGAGCTTAGAAATTTGAATTCATAAGAATTCATAAGAAATTTCAATTCTATCATGAAGGCAATAAGAGTTATTGACAGATTTTAACAAGTAGAGATTGGTCATATTTGTATGTCAGAAAGTACAATCTGATGGATAATAGATAGTACTGGATAGTAGAGTTGAAGAGACCAAAACCAGAGTTTTTAAAAATCCAGGGGTAAAAATACATGCTTAAATGAAGTCATAGTTGGATAAATAATAATTATAAATAAGAGGAGATAATATGAAAAATGTAAGGACACTCCCTCTCTACTATTTTTTAACTTAATTCATACAGGAGTAGGAAAAGGGGAGAATGATTTAAGAATGACTCCTAGGCTACTGAGTGAGACCAGATGTCAATAATTTAAAAAGGGAATCTAGGCAAGGGAACAGATTTTGAAAGAAAACTGGAATTTATTTCTAAGTATGCTGATACTGAGTTTCTCTGGGAAATATATTTGCTCACTCAGCTCATCAACCTGTTCTCCTTGCCTGCCTCAACCACAGAGGCTGAATTCAAATATTCAATTTTATTAGTCTGCCTAACAACCAAGGTACCTGCATGACAATTGCCAATGGTATGGACAAAAAAAATGCCCTTTCTCATTTCCCCCTACTTTCTGTCCTGGATGTGAGATGTATAGAACCTCAAAAGTCGTTTTAAGAAGATAAGGTGAGAAGCATGAAGCAAATGTCAAGGAAATCCCTTAGTCCTTGATTTTAACAGTATCAGAGTCGAAGAATCTACGTCATAACTGTCCATCTCCTCTGTTTTCTTAAGTCATCCAAGAGAACTCCTCTTTTCTTGCAGCCACATGCACTCCTAACGCTACCCTCTACTGGAGCAAGATTTCTGATGGTGATGTCTGGAAGTGGTTGAGTTGGCTCTGCACCCTGATCAGATGTACCCTGACCATCAACATCAGGACTGCACGAGGCTGAAACCACTCTCTAATCAGCTACAACCCTGTCTCCGGGCACTTACTGCCAAGTTCAGTAATCAACATTAGACCAGGCTTCATGGTTCCCAAATGCTAGGTTGGTTCTTTGTTTTGATACTTTTTTTAAGAGCAAGAGAGCGCATATGTTGGGGGGTGGGGGTGGTGCAGAGGGAGAGAGAGAGCAGGTTCCATGACCCTGAGATCACGACCTGAGCCAAAATCAAGAGTCAGAGGCTTAACTGATCAAGCCATTCAGCCATCCCAAAAGCTAGTTTGGTTCTTAAACCTGAGGTTAGCTGGCTTCACAAAAAATGTCCTAAGAACCTTATTTAAAATGCAGGCATCATACTCAGTGATTTCCATCTAATGGTCTGAAGTAAAGCTCAGAATCAATCACTTTTCTTTGTGAATCTGGAGACTAACTAGTGTCTAGGGTTAGTTTATCATGATAGCCTCTGAACTTGACTAGAGAGCATCATTTGGAAATTTAATGTTACATAATACTACCATCTTTCACGTTTCTACCATTTACAAAATGCAACTCCATCCAAATACCAATCGTATTCCATGACACTTTATTCTTTTTCTCCATTATTAATCCTCATGCTGCTGTGTTTTTCTCCCAATAGTTTAAATATACCATCAACCCTCATTCTAGCTGAAAAAAAAAAAAAAAACTTCTTGCACCCTCACCTTCAAAGAACATATTGTGATCTTACCTAAATATTGGCTTTTTCCAAAAAAGAGACTACTTCTTTTGCAATTCTCCCAAAGGATGACATCCTTTCCCAATGCCCCATAAAACACCCTTTAATTTTAGGGCCTAAAATTAAACTTGACGTTCTTCCAAATCCCCAGTTTTGATTCATTTATTCTTCCATGTGTAGAAACATTTTGGCTCATGACATCCAATTTACTGCCCTGGGTCTCCATGCATCCATATTCATGAAGACTTCAGTTTGGGGTTTCAAAATCTTCTCTAGCCCCAAACCTTATAATGTTGTATAAATTTAATATCAATGTGAAAGGCCTAGCCAATAAATTAGCTTTAAAATTCATGCCTCATCATCTTTAGTAAACTTTATTTCCACACCACCTCAAAAACAATATGGCTGTATCATTATATGGAACTATTGTCTTAGAAATTATAGACATCAATATTTCTCTATTTGACCACGATCTTTCATTGAATGTCCAACTTTCTGTGCTCTCACTCCTGTGACTATTGCTTTTTCACTTCTACAGTGATCTTATAAGAGTTATTTTAAGTGCTTACTAAAAATCTGTCATTTGTCTTCCGAATATTTATTATGGTGCATCTACATTGGCCAGTATATGGATCATGGGTAATCAAGGAACTGTCTGTGGGTCCCATGTCCAGAGATGGAGAGAAAGGTTGTCTGTGAAATGATAGTAGAGTCCTATTACAGGTGATGTCAAGTCCCAAGCGCAATCCTAGCATCCTCCCACATGTACATTTGTAATGCAAAGTTTCAATGGCAGAGGCCAGGTCCTAATTTTCCTTACAGTTAGGAAAGTCCAGTCCATAGCTTATTCCATTCCTTATTTTCTTTTGAGGGTGATTAGCTGGACTGAGCATTACATAGGACTAGCTGGGGATCATTTTGTTTGGCAGACCTCAGTTTCTGTAGAAACTATAAAAATGAGGTATATAAAGATACTGCTGAAGTGATCAGTTAGGGACTAGCTGCCTTGTAAAAAGCCAAGCATAAGCTGACCATCCACTGGACCCAGGAATGTCATGCAGGGTAACCGAAGAGAGAGCATGAATGGTAGAGCAGTCAGTAGTTGTGTCTGCTTTGCCTGTGGTCAACAGTGTGTTTGTCCTAATCTATTGCTTCCCTTCCAATAAATCCCATAAATGTTATCTTCTATTAGTGAAAAAGCATTGAAATTTATACTTCAATTATTTACTTCTAGAAATAGGTGGAGCTTACAGTCTGCTCCCACAAAATTCTCCAAATTAATTTATCTATATTTCAATTTATCATGTAGTGATTTCTTACCTAAAAGATGCTGAGAAGTGATATTATAAAGATGAAGGAAATCTTTTTGTGTTCCAGTATGGACGGAGCTGTCAGAAGCTCCTATAAAATCCTATCATGGTCCAAGTGGCAAGAGACACATTCCTATAAATGCTCTTATAATACCAGCGGAAGTGCTGTTTAAAATTAAAGCATAATATAGGCATCCTTTGTCAAAATTCCTTGGTCACCTTTAGGTAGATCAACTCATCTCTTCGGTTCTTGAAATATAGTTTACCGCAACTACCATATCTTTGTACCAAATTAGAACTTAGAATCCTCTCTACAAAATAGGTACTTTTATTATGATATGTCAGATTACAATACAATAACATTAAAAAAGAAAAAAATCTGTCAACTCTCTATAATTGTATATATGATTCTTGCTTGCTTATTAAACTAAATTAATTTTATCCATTTGATATTTTTAACATTAAACGTTTCTATTGAGAAAAATATGCATAGTGAATTGAATAATATTCAGTTAATATAATTGAAGGATCAATATGGATATTTTTTTAGATTTGATATATGTGCCTTATTGATCTAGTTGTTTTAGTCAAAATAGAAAATAGATTATAACCAATATCTCTCTCCATTTGTGTCTTTCAGTGGAATAGTTAAATCAATTCCCATGAAGACAATTTCAAGCCTAGAGAAGCCAGTCTTCACCTGTCTCCTAGAGGGCAGGGAGTTCTCTTGGTAAGATTTAACTAGCCATTGTGAACATTGCTACAAAGTTCCAAATCTGAGACTAAATTACCCCTTCAACTCTTTATAGCATCAGACTTGGTGGAAAAATAGCCTATTCTCACTTCTGGCATAAACCTAGACATTGTTATACAATGGAAAATAGCCTGCTTTAAAACATCAGGCCAAAAGAAAAAAAAGAGCAGATGAAAGTCATTACACAATGCTTAAAATGCACTGAATTTATATATACAACAAGGATCAAAATGAGAAAAAGTTCTTATCATTTGCAGGCAAGCAGCCTGAACTGAAAGATATATCATAAATAGCTATGACTTCATTTTGTTCAGGAGTTGAAATTATTTGACCTTGAAAAACAACCACACAAGAAAAAAAAGCACAAAGCAAGGAATATCACTGTCTCACAGTCTTACAGCACAGAGCCTACAAATAAAAAATATATCATTTCCTTTAAGCACTTTGATAACCATGCTAATTCCAAGTGGAAAGAGATCCACTCTCAAGGACAAGAAAATATGGTCATCTCTGTATGTCAAACATCTAACAGAGATTATGTAAAATGTTCGTGAAAGGAAGCAATATTTATCTGTTTTTTTTAATCATCTCTGTTTGGTTCATATGTTTTCATACTTTTAGTGTTTACCAGCTCTTGGACTCAGCTCCACCTTGATATCTGGGTCTTTGCATTTTACAACTGTGCTCCATTTACACCTCTGCTTCTCTAGATTTTGCTCATAGACTCGCTTTGGATGTCCTTGTGCTATATCCTCCTGTGCATCTTCTGCTATTATCTAAACAAAACTTGGGATAGTGATTAGAAATGAATGTTCAGTGACTTATTATTAAAGTGAGTGAATGTGAGAGTTGGTTCAGTGTCTGACTCTTTATTTGGGCTCAGGTCATGATCACAGGTGCCTGAGATTGATTCCCGTGTTGGGCTCCAAGCTAAGCGAGGAGTCAGCTTGAGGATTCTCTCTCTCCCTCTCCCTCTGCCCTTCCCCCTACTCATGCTGTCTCTCCTCAAATGAATAAAGAAATCTTTAAAACCAAATAAGTGAACGTGATATTGTGATATGAATCCAGCCCAACTCTGCACCAAGAGATAATACTCTGGTATAATAAATCTGAGAAATTTAGGAAGGAACTACTTTCTAATTTCCTAGTTATTTAAATCAACAGAAAATTGGTGTGTTGGTGGAGAGTATTATCCCAACCTCACTAATGAATACCAGTGATGTTTGAGGCTTAATTCATAGATGCATTAAACTTGTGTGGATTGTTCAGGCTTGCTTACAATATAAACATTTTATTATTTCAAAATGTCAGCACAACTTCTCAGCTTGTCAACTGGTCTGCATACAGTAGACCCTAGCAGATCATTTTACCATGCCACATTCTCTTTTCTTTCCTGTACTACATGACATACTGATATATTTCCTTTCAAACCAGATGCTATCTACTAGACTATTAAAATATGATATGAAACATCCACAACCTATCAAGTAATATGTCAACATGGAGCCTTAAGAGCATCATCTTTTCTTCACATAAAAAAGAATAATCATGTGACTACTTGTAAATCAGGCCCATGTTGGAAAGGACCTATCAAAGATTGTTGTGTAGGCAAAATATTTCACTTGGAATCTGAAAAGCTGAGCTCTGGTTATACATTTGAAATAGAAAATTTTGAGGAAAAATAGAAATAGGATGGGAAAAGTACTTGGCAAACGGTAGTATCCAACTCCAAATATTTTCAGTACAAATTTGTGTGATCTCTGGTAGAGACCATATCTCTTGGGAAATACATATAAGAAAGCAGATTAAATGTGACTAACCTCAGGTAAACCCTATCTAGAAGACAACAGTTATAAAGAGTTAGTCTCAAGGTTTATTTGTGGCACCTTGCGGATCAACTTTTGCAAAATCCCTTTACAGTGTTATGAGTGTCAGAATCATGAATAAAATGGGAGAGTTTTACATGCATACTTATTGATATTTTCTCAATATTTTATCTTACTACTCCCAGAGTTTTCCATAAACTTAACTACTTGGCTTGCAATTTTAAAGTCATTCTTTTGACAGTTTCTAAAAATTTAGTTTGTAGATTTCATTTGGTAACAAAATTAGTGGATATCACTTCCAATTTAATATTTTTAAGGTTTTATTTATTCGAGAGAAAGAGAGAGGCAGAGACAGAGGCAGAGAGGGAGAAGCAGGCTCCAGGCAAGGAGCCTGACATAGGACTCGATCCTGGGTCTCCAGGATCATGCCCTAGGCTGAAGGCAGCGCTAATGTGGCAGAGCCACCTGGGCTGCCCAACATTTTATTTTTTTAAAGATTTTACTTATTTATTCATGAGAGACACACAGAGAGAGGCAGAGACATAGGCAGAGGGAGAAGCAGGCTCCCTCTGGGGAGCCTGATATGGGACTTGATGCTAGGACTCTGGGATCACACCCTGAGCCAAAGGCAGATGCTCAACCACTGAGCTACCCAGGTGCTCCTAATTTTTTTTTTCTGTAAGTAGGCTCTATGCCCAGTGTAGAGCCCTACATGGGGCCTGAACTCAGGATGCCAATATCAAGACCTGAGCTGAGATCAAGAGTCAAATGCTTAACCAACAAAGCCACCCAGGTGCCCCAATTTGGGCTACTCTTAGTCATGGAATAATCTTATGTTTGTATTGGCATAAGATTTGATGAATGGTTTTAGCCGAATGAATATAATAGTTATACTGCAGACATTTTGCATCCTTTTTGTAACCTAACTTATAAATATTTAAAATTGTTTTGCAATTTTTGCTTTGCTATTAGAGAAAAGGGGGAGAAAAGATTGTCATATAAGGATGGTTTTATATGAGGGCAGTAGAGCACAGTGATTAAAGTATATGTTTGGAAACAGACTACTTGGGTTCAGATCCCAGCTACACTCACCAAATAGCAACATAGAGAAGCTATTTGTTTAGCATTTCTGTACCTCAGTTTACTTCTTTATAAAAAAAGGTACTGATAATAGTAAGTTATTGGGGCACTTGGGTGACTCAGTCAGTTAAGCAGGCTCAGGTTGTGATCCCAGGGTCCTGGGATAGAGCCCCGCACTGCATAGGGCTCCCTGCTCAGCAGAGAGTCTGATTCTTTCTCTCCCTTTGCCTCTCCCCCCAGTTTGTGCTTTTTCTCTTTCTCTGTCCCTCAAATAAATAAATAAAACCTTACAGTAATAATAATAAGTCATTACATATAGGAGAAGATTTATGGAAGGATAAATGAGTTATTACATGTATTTCAGCACTTGGTGTATGGTTAGTATTAAATAAGTGTTACCTATTATAACACAGAGTTATTAAAGTATGTAAGTTATTGTGTGAATAGTGTATTTGTACATTAAAAAATATATTACCTACAGATTAACACTTTATCCTTCTTGAAAGCCTTTTCACCTGTTCTTGCTGAACTAAGAACACACCAGTAGTAGCCATATTTAAAGAGAGGAGCAAAAATAATCATAAACTAATCGTCAATCTCTTCCTTCTTTTTCCACACTCCCTCCTCAAACCCATTGATCTTCAGGGTTTCAACTGTTACTCAGGCTGATGAAACACAAATTTATATCACCAATGTCAACCACCCTTCTGAGCTCTCTGCCCATATTTCCACAGTCTACTGGACATTTTCACCAGATGACACAAAGTCACTTCTAAGTCATAATGTTTTTTCCCCTTTACACGGAACCTGTCCCACGACTCCCATTCTCTGCCAGTGGCACCTGAAGACTGGCACTTTTCGATGCCCAAAACTCCAAAGCAGCTTGCAGAATCACTTTCTCTTCCAGCCTCACATCCAATCCATTAAGATCTGTTAAACCCTCTCTTCTTTCCATTCCTACTTCCACTCCTGTATCTTCACTCCCGATCTGATGAAAATGCTTTTAAATGACCTTCTCACCTTCAATTCTCTCCAATGGAGTTTGCAATATATTTATTTGTTTGATTCGATTAAATTGCAAGCTAACTCCATCTAACTGTGAAAATTGGCTGCCATTTGAGGCCACTGTTCCAACAAGAGGAAATGTCTTTCTTGGGGAGAACGCTATATCTCTGAATATAGGGAAATTCACCAATGGGTCTGTGTAGCTATAAAACATAAGATCCATCAGGCATAACTTGACATTCTAATTAAATATATCTAAACAGAAAGACTTTCCAGATATTTTTCGTTGGGATCCTGAAAAGATGGAAGGGTTGAACTAGCTCAAGAAAGTTGAATCTCAAGATGATTTTTTTTAAAAGTCAGGTCTAGGGTTGGAAGCCATGTTGGCCTATGGTTGTCATATTTCTAAGACAAGTGAGGTCTAGCATTCTCTGCTTTCCCTCAAACTTTGGCAAGTGTGTTTTTCCAAACATCCACCTTATTTTAACTATGTTAGGGGTACACTAACAGATAACACAGATAATGATCATGGAAGTCAAGTATGGCCTGCACTGATCCAATAGTAAATAACAAATTGCTTTCACTGCAAACATTTTAAGAGAAGATGGTCTCTGAGGGAGGCAAGGAGTCAGTGCTCAACTGCTTTAAGATTTAAATCTTCAATTTGACAGTAGCCAGATAATGGACATAAACTCATTTGGATGACACTAGTAACTACATGAACAGAAATGCTTGTAGTTGTATTTATTGCATGAAAGTTTTCTTAGTAGTGTACATTCAATATGATTTCTCAAGCAAACACGTGAAATACAAAAAGATGATGGTGATTTTTTGGCATCACCTGTTTCACATGGTAAATATTCTTGAATTACAAGGGAAAATGACTCTGATTATGATTTAGAAAGGTTTGAGAGTAGCATTTCTTTTAATTTGCGATTTGTATTTATTTTATGAATAACTCATCTTTTGTCTGTGTTAATAAAATCTATTGTTTCTGACTACAAGGCAGCTAAGAACCCTTTGGTGTGTTGAAATGGATGATCAAAGAAATGACAAGTAGATAATAGCATATTAAAAATGCCTCAATATCTTTTTAAAATTCAGGTCTGACTTCTCATTTACTTTGAGAATCCAAACATTCAATGTGAAAGCCACAGTCAGTGATATATTTAGTAATACAGTATTCCTTTCTTCCTACCTATAAAACCAATATGTAAAGCACCTTAAAGAACAAAAAAAAGGGGGGGGGCACCTGGATGGCTCAGTTGGTTAAGTGTATGCCTTTGGTTCAGGTCATGATTCCAGGGTTCCTGGGATCAAGTCCTGCATCGGACTCCCTGCTCAGAGGAGAGCCTGCCTGCTTCTCCTTTTCCTCCTCCCTTTCACTCATGATCTCTCCCTCTCTTGCTCTTAAATAAATAAATAAAATCTTTTA